AGTTATTTCTTAAGCCACAACATGTTAATGAATCAATTAATTTTGTTGTAAGATAGTAGTTAGCATATAGCAACCATACTTAAAATTCAATAATAGGTTCAGGTAGACTAAAAACAATTGAAGTGTTGAAAATCAAAACAACAACTACCTATAAAAAAATGAAGTAAATTAATTCTATCACCAATTTCAACAGCTAACATGCCCAATCCTCTTGGGTGAGATATATGAACCTGTGAATGCACTAAATTCCTGTAAAATTACAATTGGTACTTATTTTAATTGAAACTTTCACCCAGGTTAGTTTAAACGATATTATCCTTATCCCAATCATTTGAATAGGGTTTTCTGAATTCTCCTCCTCCACTAGTTTCTTCTCATAGCTAAATAAGATGTTAACTTTATTTTGAACAAATCTATTTGCGCAACTTCATGTTATTATTAACTTTATTGTAGCAATTTTATGATTTTAATTTTCCCGTTAATTTGACCTACCAATTATATTGATACATCATCTACCTTCCATAATGCATACCCAAAACACCTAACTTTAATTTCAACTATTTAATCAATAAGATTTATTCTCTATGTCAACCCAACATAATTATGTCTCATCATCCATCTTAGATTTAACACAAATCTATCATAAAATTCCCGATTCTACACAAAACTATAGTAGCTGGTCTTGATGCTGAGGAAAAAAATGGTTCATTATATCATATTAGGCTCCCTACTTGACCCTTAGAAACAATAACAAAGATGAGAATACTTGCAACTACTATCATCTAACAACAACAATAACATCAAGCCTTTATCCCACTATGTGGGGTCGGCTACATGAATCATTTTTCTCCATTGTTGATTCGAAAAGCCTCCAAATTTTCGCAAGCAAAAGATAGACTTCCTAGATAAAAGAAATACACAAAATACTCAAAACTAAACAAAATAGACAAATTACAACTATTATAAAATAAAGACTTACAAACTTTGACACAAACACACACACCTAAACTTGCTTTTCATTTGCTTGAGAAGAAGGATACATATGGAGTGGCACTTGCGGCGAGAAGAAAGAGGTTAGAAGACTAGACGAAGAAAGGACAATCTCGCAAGCTTTCCTAGATGGAAGAAGAAGAGAAGTTGGACAAAGATCGCAAGCTTTTCCAAACAACAAACCCATAGGTTTTGGTTTCCAAAGAATGCATTTTTTCCAACCTTTACAAGCCTCAAAACATCTCTAATTTATAAGCAAAGGAAGAAGTCAAACAGCCACAGTACCTCCAACCAAATCCAATCAGATTTGGGGAAATGAAAGGCCAAAAGACACCAAATGAAAGACCAAAAGACAGCAAAACAGCCAGCAGAATTTCTGCACAGAAAATAGGGAAACAAACCACGGAAAACCCCACCAGCAGCCACAGGAAGCCCAGCCAGCAAGGGACCTGAAGAGCCAGCACAGGAAACAGAGCATCATTTCACGGGAAAGACAGCCAGGAGGAGAAAACCGAGAGGGAGGACCACGGGAACGGCAACAGCCAGCAGAAACTAAAATGACAAGGGGAAGGGGAAGGCTTTATGAGCCGATTTCTACACCAATTAATGAACTAAATATCAGCGCATAATGAGCTAACAAACAACTCAAAAATTAATAAGCTAGACTTAAGTAGAACCCAATTTTTAAGCTTAACTCCAAGCAGCCAAAGACCCAATCCGAGAGCAGCCAAGGCTCCAAACAGAGAAATAGCAAGCAGCCCAAGGACAAAACCAAGAGGTAGCAAGTAGCCCAAAGCTTGCCTACATCAATTCTCCCCCACTTAAAAAAGCTCATCTCCTGATGAGGAAGCTTCAAAATTTTGGAGATCCGGCATTTCAAATTCTTGGATTAGAATATCATACTTTCGTTTGATGGCTTCCATTTCTCGTTCAAATTCTGCTAGAAGTGAACGCCTCTTAGACTCGAATCACTCGTCACATAATTGTAGCTGTTCTTGAATCTTTAAAAGCTCAAACTATAGAGGACCTGAAGAATCTGCATGATGAGGCATCGATTTTATTGTTGGAAGATTGTTCACTGGATTGCTTGGCTGTTTTTTATTTTCCATATTTAAACACTTAAAACAATGAAACAAAAAGAGAAACCTAGGAAGACACAAACCTAGGCTCACATGGCACACACAACAACTGCTATGACTCACTAAGATATACACAATAACTTGATCTGATACCAATTTGATGCAAGCAAAAAATTGGGAAAAGCCCCCAAATTTTTGCAAGCAAAAGATAGACTTCCTAGATAAAAGAAATACACAAAATACTCAAAACTAAACAAAATATGACAAAATAGACAAATTACAACTTTTATAAAATAAAGACTTACAAACTTTGAAACAAACACACACCTAAACTTGCTTTTCATTTGCTTGAGAAGAAGGATACATATGGAGTGGCACTTGCGGCGAGAAGAAAGATGTTAGAAGACTGGACGAAGAAAGGACAAGCTCGCAAGCTTTCCTGGAAGGAAGAAGAAGAGAAGTTGGACAAAGCTCGCAAGTTTTTCCAAACAACAAACCCACAGGTTTTGGTTTCCAAAGATTGCATTTTTTCCAACCTTTACAAGCCTCAAAACATCTCTAATTTATAGGCAAAAGGAAGAAGCCAAATAGCCACAGCACCTCCAACCAAATCCAATCATATCTGGGAAAATGAAAGGCCAAAAGATAGCAAAACAGCCAGCAGAATTTCTGCACAAAAAACAGGGAAACAAGCCACGGAAAACCCCACCAGCAACCACGGGAAGCCCAGCCAGCAAGGGACCCGAAGAGCCAGCACAGGAAACAGAGCATCATTTCACGAGAAAGACAACTAGGAGGGGAAAACCGAGAGGGAGGACCACTAGAACAGTAACAGCCAGCAGAAATCGAAAAGACAAGGGGAAGGGGAAGGCTTTATGAGCTGATTTCTACACCAATTAATGAACTAAACATCAGCTCATAATGAGCTAACCAACAACTCAAAAATTAATGAGCTAGACTTAAGTAAAACCCAATTTTTGAGCTTAATACCAAGCAGCCAAAGACCCAATCCGAGAGCAGCCAAGGCTCCAAATAGAGAAATAGCAAGCAGCCCAAGGACAAAACCAATAGCTAGCAAGTACCCCAAAGCTTGCCTACATCAATTGTGTCCTATTAAGAGTAATATCTCATTAAATTTAATAAAGAAATGTTCTTTCGAATATTTTTTAACCAAATCTCCTCTACCTTTCTTAACATAAACCAAATCCAATACATCTATTTTCCTAACCGGATCATCATAAGGTTGCCGTTTTATGAGAACAAACCATCTAAGACGACTCTCGCTAATCTTATCTTCCATAGGAGCAACTGTTATCATCCATAAATTAAAAAAAAAAAGGAAAAAAAAAAGGTTATGTTAGCAAAACTACCTATAAATAACTCACAACTAATAGAAATATAGCTTTGTATAGGACTTGCATACCCTCTTAAGAACACATGTTCTTTAAATGTGATAGCAACAAATTCCAAATATGAAGTTAAAAGGATAACTGACTTGAGAGGGTATTGGATAAATAGAGGTCATTTGGTTCTCAAGTTTCATCCAGAAAAACAACAACAAGAAAAAAAGGATAAACTGCAAGGCTTTGTTATCTACTATTGTTAGAAGTATAGCAACATATACAAATTATCATTAAAACAAGAAGGGAGTGGCACAAAAAAGAAGTGGCAAGATAAAATTAACCAAACTGACCAAAAAATGAAACCAAATTAATCTAAACAATCAAGATATTGAGTTAAACAATCAAAAATATCCAATATTATTCAAAATATTCATGGACTATGTAATGCACGTGCGTGAAATAAAATAAAAAAGGGAACAAAGAGACTGATAGCTCTAGTGATTATACTCTTCCGAAACAAACCCATTCTTCCTCGGATCTCTTCAAGAAATGAAATCAAAGTAATGCACACAAGGCAAGCCTTTGAGTTAAACTCTTTCAAAAAGATCCAAGGTTATCCAAAAATCTTCATGGGTAGTGTACTGCACGTGCATACAATAAAAAATAGAGATTGCCAGCTATAATAAATATACTTTTCAGAATCAACCCATTCTTTCTCAGATCTCTTCAAGATCGTTAAGGAGCATATTAGTTTCAGATAACTTATGATTAGAAATTGCCTCGGATCCTTTTGTAAATGGATTTGTTGATCTCACCTGCCCAATTGGCTTCAATCCTAATCTTATTCCAGCAAAAGGCCTCATTTGCAATAGCTGATGGGATTTCTTGGCATAAAGTTCATTCCTCCTTTTGACAAATGGAAATGAAAAATAAATAAAAGCATGCAAAACAAGATGGTCATTCCCTAATTTTAACATTCAAGAATTTCCTGATCGTTTATTAGAGTTATTCTAATATCGGATAAAGCAGTCCCTGAGAACATATTTTAAGTGTCATCGCCGGAACCTACGGAAAGTAGTCCTATAGCTTCAAGCAGAAGAAGTTGCTCCAGAAACACACGTTAAATGTAAGAAGAGTCGAAGCACATCAAATAGCATAACATGGGCACAAAACACCAGCTAGCCATTTTTTATTATAATGGACCAGAAGATTACGGCATCACCAATAATCTAGGAGAAGCTGAGGATTTCAAGTATCAAAATCAAGATCCACATCCTCATAACCAAAGGCAAGCCATCAGCCTATCAACCATAGAAAAAATATAGAGTGAAATGAGAGATTGATTGGAAATGCAAAGTAAATACGTGAAGAAAATTAAATCCCTCTATCCGAATAAGCACAAAGATCACTATCGGAGCACATTCTCACAAACAAAATAGGATATTATGGGCAAGAAACCAAGGCCTCACAGCCGCACCAAACAGGACAAACTTGAAATGTAGTACAAACGAATCCAAGAAAGAACATGGAATCAAAGATGCAAATTAGGAGAAAAAAATTAACAGCAGATGGGGACAATAAGGCTAGCCTTGTCTCCGACATAGGGAATCTTGATGGCCTCCTCCCTAATGGCAGCTTGCTGCTGCATGATATCATCATCTCTGCAGCAGGACCAATCGTATTCCTGTGGAAACACCTCACGACTGCCGCTCGCGCCTGCTCCAACGCTGTTACTAGGGTTCAAAACTATTGCCGCTGCCTCCTCTGCTGCCAGTTGCTTCATATCAGTTGCCACAGCTGCCTCCATCCCAAGCTCACTCTCTAAGGCCTTCCGCTTCCGCGGGCTTGCCTCCGCTTGGTTCGCCATGTCCGATCTCCTCTTTCTCGATCGCTCCCTCGCTCTCCTCTTGGGCTTGGACACACAACCTCGTTTTTTTTTTTTTTACCCAAAAAAGGAAAAAAGGCTCGTCGGGATTTGATCAATGGGGCCGGCCAGTCTGGCCCGGTCGCATTTTTTTGCTGAATTTGACCTTGAACTATTAATACGGTACTCGTTGTAACTTCGCTTAATCTAAGGGGTTAAAAAATTAAAATACTATATTAAATTATTTATACAACTATAATTTCTAATAAAAACAATTTGTACTTTTTTTCCATGTTGTATTATTAAAAATCAATTCGGATATTAGGTTGTGAAGCTTGCTTACTTCCAAATGGAATAAAGTATTGATACGTCGTCAAAACCGTCTTGATTAACGAATCTTGAGGTATATTTGAGTTAAAACTTTCAAAATTAAACTTGGGACCATCCAACAAATTTATAGTCAAATTCAACGTCTTGAAGAGGCAAACCCACTAACAGCAAAATCTGCTCAATATGAACCCAAAATGGGTGCAAATGGGGGGGGGGGGAAGGTTCAAAGCCTAAATTGGATGACCAATGATAACCAAATATAACATGCTTATAGTCAATTGAGCGGCTCGGCTAGATGAATCCAATGAGCCTAAGATCGCTAAATTATGACTTCATTAAAACTCTAAATGAAATGGATGAATGTAGTGGGCTTATTGTGTTATAGAAAAGTCCCCCTCAAACTTAAGGGAAATTTCTATAAGATGGTGGTGAGACATGTAATGCTTTATGATGTTGAATGTTGGCCATTAAAAGAGAAACATAATACAAAGTTAAGTGTTGCATAGATGAGGCTGCTTAGGTGGATGAGTGGCTTTACCCTTATAGATAGGATACAAAATGAGCATGTACGTGAAAAGGTTAGAGTAGCTCCAGTGGAAGATAAGAATAGAGAGAGTCGCCTTAGATGATTTAGTCACATTAAACGGAGGCCTTCTGATGATTCGGTTAAGAATGTTGACGTATTAGATTTGACTTAAGTTAAGAAAAATAGAGGTAGACACAAAAAGACTTGGTTAGAAAATATTAGAAATGATATTTCTTTATTAGATTTAAATGAGAATTTGACTTTTAACATGACACAATGGCGAAAAATGATTCATGTAGCCGACCCCACGTAGTGGAACAAAGGCTTGATGTTGTTGTTGTAGTATAGTGATGTTATGTATTAGTGTTCAATTTGTAGTTCTCCTTTTTGGTGATGTTAATAGAGGGAGAAGGTTGTTATTGGATTGTACTAGTTATTTTGATTTTTAGTGTAGTTTATTTTACTTCCAAATGGAATAAAGTATTGATACGTCGTAAAAAATCGTCTTGATGATGAACGAATCTTGAGGTATATTTGAATTAAAACTTTCAAAATTAAACTTGGGACCATCTAAACTCCAATTTCAACAAACTTATAGTCAAATTGAACGTCTTGAAGAGGCAAACCCACTAATAGCAAAATTGGTCCAATCTGAGCCCAAAATGGGTGCAAAACGGGGGACTGAAGCTTATTTGAAAGGTTCAAAGCCTAAATTGGATGACCAATGATATCCAAATATAACATGCTTATAGTCAACTGAGTGGCTCGGCTAGATGAATCCAACGAGCCTAAGATCACTAAATTCTGATTTCGTTAAAATTCTAAATGAAGTGGAGGAATGCAACAAACTTATTGTGTGATAGAAAAGTCCCTCTCAAAATTAAGGGAAATTTCTATAAGATGGGGGTGAGACATGCAATGCTTTATGATGTTAAATGTTGTCCATTAAAAGAGAAGCATAATACAAAGTTAAGTTTTGCAGAGATGAGGTTGCTTAGGTGGATGAGTGGCTTTACCCTTAGAGATAAGATACAAAATTACCATGTACGTGAAAAGGTTATAGTAGCTCTGGTGGAAGATAAGATTAGAGAGAGTCTCCTTAGATGGTTTAGTCACATTAAACGGAGGCCTTCCGATGATTCGATTAGGAATGTTGACGTATTAGATTTTACTTATGTTAAGAAAAATAGAGGTAGACCCAAAAAGACTTGGTTATAAAATATTAGAAATGATTTTTATTTATTAGATTTAAATGAGAATTTGACTTTTAACATGACACAATGGTGAACAAGGATTCATGTAGCCGACCCCACGTAGTGGGACAAAGTCTTGATGTTGTTGTTGTTGTTGTATAGTGATGTTATGTATTAGTGTTCAATTTGTAGTTCTCCTTTTTGGTGATATTAATAGGGGGGGAATGTTGTTATTGGATTGTACTAGTTATTTTCATCTTTAGTGTAGTTTATTTTGGTTCTAATATTTTTGTGTTGTTATTATAATTTAGTTTTGTCATTATAAAAATTTTTAAAAATTAGAAGTGCCTCTCTAGCTTTTATGAAAATAGGAATCACTTAGTAAAGGGGAGAACATATGAGAAAAATAAAATAAAATTCTAATTCAACCAACAAAATTTGTCAGCGTCAAATGGGAGGAGATTATTATAATATGGGAGCTCGAGTTGATGTTTTGATGATAATAAATATCATTAGATTGTATTTTGTTTGTCTTATATTTTATTATTCTATATATATTATGAGTGTGCTAACATTTTATATTCAACTTACACCAAGCCCCGTTAGAAAACCAGGTCTAAAGATTAGGTAATATAGGTTTGATTTATGTAAGAGTTTATATTTTTTAGTTTCTTGAGTTCATCAATACATAAAGGTGTATGCTAGCTTAGAAATTATGTACACACATACTAGGGGAATGAAAAATAAAGATTTTTTTTTTTTTGCATAATTGTATTGTACGATCTCAATTATATTGTATGATCAGTTCAAATAGAAATTAATTAAAATGGTTTAATAAATAAAAAAAATCCACATATAACTAATCGTACAATATGATCTTACATCATACTGGATAATTAGCTATAAACAAAAACCCCACCGTCAAATAAAACTTACCTAAAATAGGTAAATATGAATTTTGAAATTTGAACAATTCATAATGTATGATGCATTAAATCATTGACTATTAGTTCAATTAATTAAGCACTCAAATTGGATATGACTGATTATAAATCATAATGTAAGATACTATATCATACTGCATGAGCCAGCCGCCCAAGGAATCTCTAGATGAAGTTTGGTTTGTCTAGTATGATCAAAAAATCATGTTGTCGAAACCACATGAGGGCTCTCTAGATATTTTTGTTCATCATGTGCGATATGATATTGAGTTATTCCAATCGTGATGTACTATTGTTCATTCGTATATTATGATAAGTTAGAGAATTTTAATTGATTGTTAGGTAGACTATTCATCGTACAATACAACTGAAGGATATTTGAAATAATCATACTGTACAACCCATTTATCGTACTATATAAACAGTGATGGCAAAAATGAAAATTAGGGTTTTCTTAAGACTTGCTATTTAATTATCTCTTATTTCGTGTGAGAGTATCTTTTTAATCAAGGGTTGTGTGTCTTCTATAAGCAAGGGTTTGAAGAGAGGATTTTTTATCAAAGGGGGAGAGAGAGAGGTAAATTTATGAGAAGGAGAATAGCCTTGTGGGATCAAGAGAGTGTGAAAGAGAGAGTCTATACATGGTTACTTCGGCCAACAACCTTCTTGTTTCTCCATGAGCAAAAGCGTTGCTTGAAGGAAACTTCAAGAATAACCTCCTAACAAAAGGCCAATTTGTTGCACTAAAAAAGGTGAAAGGGATTCGACTACTCTACCATAATGTGAAAGGTGAAAGGGATTAGGCTACTCCATTACACCGGTATAGGTGGAACTGATTCTTATAGAAGCTTCTCAACCATGGTATAAGGGAAAAAGGTGAGACGCTAAAGAGTCTAGTGCAATACACGAAAAGGAGGACCCCTAACAGTGGATAATGGTCAAGGTTGACCAAATCACTAGAAGTTTCTGGTGTATTCATTCGTGTTTCTTTTATAACTTTATTTTTTGCATTTTTATTTATTTGTTTGTTTACCTTCTAACAAATTAGAGTTCAGAACATCAAGATGTTTTAAATTTAAATTTTATTATTAAAGAGAAATAAATAAAAATATGATAATAAAAGAAAAATTAGTATTTAATTTATCATATTTTTAGATTCCACATTACAAGATCTAATTTTGAATGTAAGTTGTGAATTTGGTTTAAACTTTCAAAAAGGATTTTTGAAAAGAAAATTTTTAAAATACTAATTCAACCCCCTCTTGGTGTGTCATTTTAGTTCAAGTGATTTAACAATAATAATTTAAACTTTCAAACACTAGCTTCCATCTGCCTTTTAAAATGGACTTCTTTATGAGTCCCATCAATGGCCAAAGACAAACTCTGTTTTGGCCTCATCACCACATCCACCACACTAAACAACAGTATTATGTTCATCAGGAAAGCACAACCAACAACATTTTTTATAAGAAAATTAGAAATAAATCATGATAGAATAAATATATCAATGCATTAAGGTGAGCAAGCTACTCATTGAAGAAGTTCTTGAAAATATATTGATGGGCTACATGCTAAAAAATAACCAATTATTGATTCTTCACCTCTAATAATACCACCGCCTCATTGGTGTTTAATTCTGAAATAGTCAGCTTTAACTCTATAAATAGGATAGGAGTCCAATAACTTGGCCTCCAGTGAGCCCACGTGATTCCATATCATTGCCTCCTATTACATAGAGATAATCTCTTCCTCGCACAATCATCAACCACAACAACAGCCTCCCCTTCAGTAGCACCAACTTTGTCTGCACCCTAATTCTTGGCTGTCGACTCCAGAGTCATCAACATCGTGGCAATTTTGTTCAATGAAATAAGCACGTGGGGAAGGAAAAGATCAGAGAACACAATTAACGATAATGAGTTTAATAATTTTGCAAGCATCTTATTAGTAGCTTACTTCTTAATCACCTCTCTGACACCCATTCTATAAATCATGAGAGTCCTCTTAATAACTCTCTCTTACTCGGGCACATTCATCCCTTACCAAAGAAATTCATCCATGCTTTCTTGCATGCTCCTAGGAAGATAATAATGACTCACTTTG